GTCATTGTTTTCAAGAAAGACACAAGCATAACTTTGTCCCCACATTAATAGTGGATTTGGTCCTTTCCATTGACCTGTCAGTACATTCTTCCACCAAACTTTGACTGAGTTGGTGTCTCATTTTATTTTTTAAAAATATCTGTCAGCAGCAGAATGCCCATCAGTGTCACAGTTCAAAAATTTAAAGTATATAAAACATTATTTAATATTTTAATAGGGATGTTCCAATATTCCCCCATTACTCCCCCTTTTTGTTTTCTAAATAAAGTTTTATAATTCAATGTTTTCTTTCTACTATGCTTTGGCCTTGAGGATTGTAAGGCATGCCAGTAGAAAGGTTGACAGAATAAAAGGAACAAAAATGTAAAAAGACTTACCTGTGTAAGCTGGGGCATTACCTGTTTTTAACTGTTTAGGAGGTCCACAAAAAGCAAAACAATGAAATAAATGATGGATAACATATTTTACCATTTCACTTGTTAAGGCTGAAGCCATAGTGAACCCAGAATATGTGTCTACTGTACCATGTACAAAAGATTGTTTTCCAAAAGAAGGTACATGGGTGACATCCATGTGCCAAACATCGTTGGGTCAAAGCCCATGAGGGTTTAAGCCATAATATGGCACAGGGAGTTGCACACTGCAAGAACAGTTTTTTTTATTATTATTATTATTATTTGTCTAGCCTGTTCTCTAGTAAGTTGGAATTGTTTTTGTAAACTAGCACTGTTTTGATGAAAAGAAGCATGTGATTGGATAGCTTCCTGTATGGGAAGACAGAGTTGTTAATCCGCTCATTTATTTCCTTGTGTGAGAGGGCCCACCAAGGGGGTATGGGCTCTAATACGTGTGATGCAAAAAAGATGAAAGCACTCCCTCCCACACTGCCTTCTGTAATGTAAAAAAGAGAATTAGTAATTCTTCATTGGCTATATGTTTAATTTTTCCATTTTCAGTACGAGTGAGTAAATGAACCACATACTGGCTGTCACTAACAATATTGAGTGGTTGGCATGGGACATCCTGAAAAACAAGTAGAGCAGCATAAGCCTCTGCTTTTTGTGCTTCTTTGGTAGCTCTAATAGCCAGTTTACAATCTTTGTTAGCATTGTCATAAGCCAATTATTTAATTAAGATATTAGTGGCTGTATTATCACTAACGCATCTAGTCACTGCTACACTTATCCTATCCACAAACTGTTCAAAGCATTCCGTAGGCCCTTGTATAATTTTTGTAAAGCTAGAATTATCAGTTCCTTTTGCCAGTAGTTTAGACCATGCTTGAGAGGCTGTGGCTGATATCTGCTGATATGCTTGTAAGTTTGTTGTTGTTATTGTTATGTGCCGTCGAGTTGGACCCAACTCATAGTGACCCCTCCTTGGGTTTCTGAGGCAGTATCACTACGGAAGTAGATTGCACCATCTTCCTTGTAAGGGATAAATTAATTGAGCTGAAACATCTAAAAACTGTCCGGTGCCAGAAAGCATTTCAAAATTAATGGGAACATTGTGTTGCTGATTTCTCATACTTTGTACAAAAATCATGAAAATACATATTCTACATCGAATAGTCTCCTTCCTTTAATACAGTTTTAGCCAACATATACCAATTATAGGGACACAAAACTTCTTGATCAATGGTTTCTATAAGTTTTTACAAACAGTGCTATTGGCCCATAGGTAGCAGCAGCTTGTTTCAAATCTTTGAGAGTTTTAAAAGAAAATGCTTTATGTCCTCGCATTGGCAAATTAGTCTATGTGTCCACATATTCTGTTAAAGGAAAAACATGTTTCAATTCTAATGGAATGTCCTCATCCATGGCCCTTGTCTTTTGAACCATAGCTTGTATAGGTGATAAAGGAGGCAAGGTGGATGATGAATAGTTAACTTGTTTCTCTGAGGGAGGGAAAGGGTTAAAAGGTGGAGGAGAGCAAGCACTGGCAGGCATAGTAACAGCTTCAACAGCCTGATCTAAAAATGGATTTAAGGAAGGATACAACTTCTCTTTCTTAACTTCTGAGGGTTCAGTTTCTAACTTTTGTTTAACTATTTCTTCTTGTAATTTTAACTCTTTTAATTTTGAATCTGTGTCTACATTTTTCTCCTTTCCCACTTTAGGATCTATGCCCACACCTATTCCCTTATCTAATTCTAAACACAGTTTTAAAATACTCCAAATAGAAAATACACACTCGGGAAAATCCTCCGGCCCATGTTCTTTTAAACATTCCTACATTTATTGACCGATGGTCTCCCAAGCTGTGAAGTCAGTGGTTCCTTCCTGAGGAAACCAAGGACAACAGTGATCTACACACTGTAAAAATTCCTCTAACTCCTTTTTAGACACTGAAAAACCTCCAGCCTGAACTAAGCCTTTAAGAACAAAAATATAATGATCCCTTTAATGACATGCTGAATTCCCCATGCCAGCCTGGCTTAAAGAAAACTTATTTAATTCACCCACACTTACCCTTCTTCTTGTTATAGAGCTCCGATTTCACTCAGTGGTGTCCTCTTGGGCACTCGTGGCTTTGCTCGAGGTCCCGGTTCGGGCAACAATTGCCATGTCAGGCAAAACCGCACAGGTCATGAAACAAAGTGATGTGAAAAGATTTAATATTTTTTTAAAAGGAATGGACCAGGTGGACACCCTGCATATTCTGTGAGAGTGACCCCTGATGCCTTTGCTCTACTTTATTTATATGATTATACATGGATGGCAAGTTGGATGATGGATAATTAACTTGTTTCCCTGAGGGAGGGAAAGGGTTAAAAGGCAGAGGAGAGCAAGCATTGGCAGGCATAGTAACAGCTGCAACAGCCTGATCTAAAAATGTTCTTTTAAACATTTTAAAAATGTTCTTTTAAATGCTCATTCATTTGTTTAAAAGAACAAAAAGTTTAAAAGAACAAAAAGTTAATTTCCTCTACATGTTTAAGGATAACAGATGGTCACTGAAACAATCACAAAAGCCTTCTCAGGAATAAAGAGTGTAAAATGATAAATGTTTACTAGGGCCCAGTGACCCAAAATATGAAACATACCAATAAGATAAAAACATGGACTACTGGAATAACATCAATTTTGATACTTAATATTTTGTCAAGTAAGCATTAAACTGTGAGAGAGGCCTTGCCTTCTCTTCTTGTTGTTGGAGAGACCTTGTTTTCTCATGTCGCTGTTAGACATGTGCCTTGCACTCATGTCCATTGATGATTTATCTCTTGATCTCCAACACATAGCTTTAGTATTTATTTATTTACATAAATTAGATAATTCTTTACATGTGGATCAACAACTAGATTTTTAAAAATACTTAATAAATAATAGGGTTTAGTTTTTTTTTAAAAAAACATGATCCTTGGAATCAGGCTGCCAAGTTTTAAATCTCAAGTTCATTACTATGTGAGACTTCATGTAACTATTCAAACTTTTTGTGCCTCTGTAAGAGGGCTTAATAATAGCCCTCACCTTTTAGGATCATGGAGAGGTTTAAATGAAATATCACTGTGTAAAGTGCTGAAACAATATTCCTGACACTTGTACATTATTAGGAAATGCTGGCTCTTATTAAATTATGCCTATGAGATCTTTTCATTTCAGCACATGAACCACATCCTTATCAATGCTCTATAGCATTCCTGGTATGGAGGCATATTATTATTTATCCAGTCATTCTCCCTTTGGAGTTCACTAGGGTTACTATGAGTTGGAATTGATTTGATGACAGTGGGTTTGATTTTTATGTAGCTTTCAGTGTATTATGGTCACAAACAGTGCTGCAGAGACATCTTTATGGGCATGTGTGCAAGTATTTCTCTAGGATGGATTTCTTGAACTGGAATTGCTGGATAGAAGTGTATGCACATTTTAATTTGAAAAGACCTGCCAGATTGCCCTCCAAAAATGTGTTGCCAATTCTTGCTTCTGCCAAAATCATGTGAGGGCACTTCCCTATTCTGCGGCCAGCACTAGGACTAATCAGTCATTCAATTATTTCCTATTATGTGGACATAATTATACTTCACTGTTGTTTAGCTTGCATTTATCTGAGTACCACTGATGCTAAGAATATTTTCATATGATTAATGGTAACTTAGATTTCTTTTTCTGTTTAAATGTCTCTTCATATCTTTTATCCACTTTTCTATTCAGCTACCTCTTATTGATATGTCATTTCTTTCAGCTTGGTAAATTGTTCTTTAGTTATGTCCATTCTGCTATCCAGTTCTTCTGTGGAAATTTAACCTTTTTAATTTAAATGGTCATGCTTTTCATTTCTAAGTTCTTTAATTGATTCTCTCTATATATAAAATAGCTCTTTCATGTTTCATAGGAGAAATCTTTTTCTGCAGAGGAGATGAATACACATCTCTTAAAGACTCTTCCTATGTTTCATGAACTTGACATTTTCTTGGGAGTCAGTTCTGTTGTTGAGTTTGGCACCTTTCTTTTATGGTTATAGTTTTCCTTATAAATTTGAGTTATGAGTTCCTCTTTGAACTTTAGATTTCCCATTTTTCCATCAATGGACACAGTTTATGGTTCTTAAATCTACTCTCTTCAGGCTGTAGGCAGGAGTTGGAGTTCACAGTGCATAGCTCATCTTTTAGATGTGGGTGTGTGATGAACATTTGGGTCTCTTTGGCCTTTGAGAGAGCAGTGTGTCTCTCCAATATGCCTGACACAAACACTTCTGCTGCCTGGGCCTTGAGCCTGTCTCATTGTCCCCTACTCCTCACTGTTTTGTTTGACAAGCTTATCCACTAGGCCTTTTCTTTTTCTGTTTTCCTTTTTTGATAGCCTTCTTCCTTATTTTATAGTGCTTTTATAGATTTCTTTCTTGTTTGAAAAGATATTTTTGTAATTTCTAGAAATTTTGGTGAGGTGAAAGCAGATGCAAGTTCTCAGTCTTTGTATCTCAAACTAATCTATTTCAGTGGGTATTCCCATTTCCTGATTATAAGTGAATCTTTCTCTCTCTCTTTTTCCTTACAGGAGGAAATTATCACTGTTTCAGGGGGAGAGTTGCTGCAGGAACCCTGTGGACAGAGGAACAACCCTCCAGACTACCATCTGTTGTTTGAATGACTTTTTACTTCTTATCAATTGGACTCCATTGACGATCATTTTTTGAACTAGACTCAAGAAATTTCCAGCTCAAATCCTATGGCCTTCTGGAAGAACCACCACCATTCGGAGGAACAGATAGATTACTGTGTCTCAAGGTGTATGAAATATGGCCAATTTGCTTCCTTTTAGTCTGTTTCAGTCTGGAAGATCCACTGAAACCTGTTTCCATCCCCGCACTTCTACTAACAGAAATTGTTAATTAATGATTCAAGTCTTTCATGAAGAGCTTGGATGTAGTCTCAGAAGATGCAACTTATTTGTCATCAGTTTTATAAATTGAGCTCCTAGAGCACTTGGATCACATTTTCATAATCCAAAATAATTCAGTGCCGAACCCTGAATTGAACATATGGTAGACAGGCATTCAATAAACGTTTGTTGAATGAATGTACTTCTGAAAGTTTTTCAACATCAATCAACAATGGTTCCTAGAAAGTTATTTGCTACATGTAATTCTTAATAAACTGATGGAGATTATAATAAAAGCTTTTAATTTTTTTGGTAAAAATATTATAAAAGCTTTATTGGAAGATAGAGGTAATGCACCTTTAATACATATTCATTATCACTGACATTAATATTATCATACTGGAAATATCAAAGACTTCTAAGCCTCAACAGGAACTTATACTACTCTGACTTTCTTTCTCACCTCCTGCCACCACTCTTCTGTCTTTGAATCATTCCTAGACCTGTTGTTGTTATGTTGTTGTTAGTAGCTATCAAGTCTTCTCCAACTCATAGTGACCCTGTGTACAGCAGAATGAAATACTGCCCAGTCCTGTGCCAGCCCCATGATCCTTGCTATACCTGAGCCCATCATTGTAGCTACTATGTCAATCCATCTTGTTGAGGGCCTTCCCCTTTTTCATTGAAACCTCCACTTTACCAAGAATGATATACTTCTTCAGGGAATGGTCCCTTCTGACAACATGACCAAAGAAGGTGAGACGAAATCTGGCCATTCTTGCTTCCAAGGAGCATTCTGGCTGCACTTCATCCAGGACAGATTTATTAGTTCTTTTAGCAGTCCATGGTACTATCAGCATTCTTCGTCAACACCACAACTCAAAAGCATTTATTGTTGTTCAGTCCTCCTTATTCGTTGTCCAGGTCTCACATTGCATATGAGGTGATTGAAAATACCATGGCTCATGTCAGGCGCACCTTAGTCTTCAAGGAGATACCTTAGCTCTTCAGCACTTGAAAGAGGTCTTTTGCAGCAGATTAGCCCAATGCTTTATGTCATCTGGTATCTTGACTGATGCTTCCTTTGGTGTTGATTGTAGAACCAATAATATGAAGTCTTTGACAACTTCAATCTTTTCTCCATTTATTGTGATGCTGCTTATTGGTCCAGTAGTGAGGATTTTTGTTTTCTTTATATTGCGGTGTAATCCATATTGCAGACTGTACTCTTCAGTCTTCATCAGTAAGTGCTTCCTCACTTTCAGCAAGCTAAGTTGTGTCATCGTGTATTGCAGGTTGTTAATGAGTCTTCCTCCAATCCTGATGCCATGCTCTTTTTCATATAGTCCAGCTTCCCAGAGTTTTTGCTCAGTATACAGATTGAATAAGTATGGTGAAAGGATACAACCCTGATCCATTCCCTTCCTGATATTAAACCAAGCAGTGTCCCCTTGTTTTGTTCAAACAACAGCCGCCTGGTCTACATACAGGTTCCTCATGAGTACAATTAAGTGTTCTGAAATTCCCATTATTTTCAATGTTATCCAAAATTTGTTATGATCCACAAAATTGAATGTTTTGCATAGTCAATAAAACACACATAAGCATCTTTCTGGTATTTTTTGCTTTCAGCCAAGATCCATCTGACATCAGCAATAATATCTCTCATTCCACATCCTTTTCTGAATCCAGCTTGCATTTCTGGAAGTTCTCTATCACTATACTGCTGCAACCATTTTTGAATTATCTTCAGTAAGATTTTATTTGTGTGCATTATTAATGACATTGTTTGATAATTTCCACATTCTATGGGATCACCTTTCTTTGGAATGGGTACAAATATGGATCTCTTCCAGTCAGTTGGCCAAATAGCTGTCTCCCAAATTTCTTAGCATAGCTGAGTGAGTGCCTCCAGCAGAGCATCCATTTGTTGAAATATCTCAATGAGTATTCTGTCAATTCCTGGAGGCTTGTTTTTTTGCCAATTCTTTCAGTGCAGCTTTGACTTCTTCCTTCAAGGCTATTGGTTCTCGATCATATGCCACCTCCTGAAATAGATGAATATTGACCAATTCTTTTTGGTACAGTGACTGTGTATTCCTTCCATCTTCTTTTGATGTTTCCTGCATCATTCAGTATATTACCCATGTTGTTGTTGTTGTTGTTTGCCGTCGAGTCAGCCCCGACTCATAGCGACCCCTCCTTGGGTTTCCGAGGCAGTATCACTACGGAAGTAGGATTGCCCAACCTTCCTTCCGAGGAGTGGCTGGTGGGTTTGAACCGCCAACCTTCTGGTGAGCAGTCAAGTGCCTTAGGCACTATGCTACCATAGACTCTTTCAATACTGCCACTCAAGATGTAAATTTTCTTCAGCTCTTTCAGCTTGAGAAATTCTGAGCATGTTCTACTCTTTTGGTTTTCCAGCTCCATGTCTTTGCACATTTCATTATAATAACTGACTTTGTCTTCTTGAGCTGCTCTTCTAAATCTTCTGTTCGGCTCTTGTGTCTTGTCTTTTATTCCATTTGCTTTAGCTTCCCTCCATTCAAGGCAAGTTTCAGAGTCTCTTCTGACATCCACTTGGCCCTTTTCTTCCTTTCCTGTCTTTTCGATGACCTTTTGCTTTCTTCGTGGATGATGTTCTTGATGTCATACCACAACTCCTCTGTTTTTTGGTCATTTGTGTTCAAAGCATCAAATCTATTCTTTAGATGGTCTCTAAATTGGGGAAGGATATATTCAAGGTCATATTTTGGCTCTCATGGACTTATTTTAATTGTCTTCAGCCTCAATTTGAACTTGCGTATGTGCAGTTGATGATCTATTCCACAATCAGCTCCTGGCCTTGTTTGTCTGAAGAGATTGAGTTTTGCCATCACCTTTTGCCATAGATGTAGTCAATCTGATTCCTGTGTACTCTGTCTGGCTAAGTCCATGTGTATGGCTGCCATTTGTGTTGTTGAAAAAAAAAAGCATTTGGTTGTTGAACTTGCAAAATTCTATCATGTGATCAAATTTTCCAAGCACTGGTGATTCTTCTTTGTTTCCTACTTTTGTATTCCAATCAACAGTGATAAGCAACACATCTTGATTGCATGTTCCATCATTTTCATACTGCAAATGTTGGTAAAAATCTTCACTGTCCTCATCTTTGGCTTTGGTGGTTGGTGAATAAATTTAAATAGTAGTGCTAACTGACCTTCCTTGTAGGCATATGGATATTACCTTATCAATGACAGCATTGTATTTCAGGATAGATCTTGAAACATTCTTTGTGATGATGAATGCCTCGCCATTCGTCTTCAATTTGTTATTCCCAGCATAGTAGATCATATGGTTGTCTAATTCAAAATGGCCAAAGCTGGTCCATTTCAGCTCACTAATGCATAGAATAATAATCTTTATGTGTTCTATTTCATTTTTGACAACTTCCAATTTTCCTAGATTCGTACTTCTTACATTCCATGTTCCAAATATTAATGGATGTTTGTAGCTGTTTATTCTCATTTTGATCGTGCCATATCAGCAAATGGAGATACCAAAAGCTCTACTTTATCCATATCATTAAGGTGAGCTCAATTCTGATAAGGCAGCTCTATTTTGAGTGCCTTCTGATCTGAGGGGCTCACCTTCTGGCACTGTATTGGACAACTTTTTCCAGGATATTCATAAAGATGTCCTGTAACAGACAGTGTTTCAGTGCTATTTAAAATATTTGCTCTGGCCAATTCTCCGAGAAGTGGATGGTCTCTTCCTTTTTCCAAGTCTGTCCCAGTCTGAAAGATCTCCTGAAATCTGTCCACTACAGGCAGCCCTTCTGGTGTTTGAAAAACACCAGTGGCACAGCCTCCAGCCTCACAGCAACACACAAACCACCACAAAAAACTGACAAACAAATCCATCTCCCTTAGCTGTTCCAAACTGCACTGTTCACTTCCTGTCCTTACCTTTACCTGTTCCAGCCATCTGGTAGCTCTTGCTTCCTGTCTGGGGCTCCCCCCTTGCTTGTTCCAGCTGTTGACCTGGCTCCCACTTCGTGTCTGAGGTTTTCCCCTTACCTATTCTGGCCATCATCCCAGCTCCTGTTTCCTAGGCCTGGTTTTGCAATATTGAGACAGTAGTTTCATGCATTGCTGCAGATGTGCCCAAGACCTGGGATAAATTACAAACCTAAGAATGATTTATGTTGCTCTTGCTAGCTGCTAGCAAGTCAGCCTCCAATACGCAAAAATCCCATGCACAACAGAACAAAATGCTGCCTGATCCTGCACCATCCCCATGATTGGTTGGGGATCTGACCATGGTGATCCATAAGGTTTTTATTGGCTGATTTTTTGGAAGTAGATTGCGAGGCCTTTATTCCTAGTCTGTCTTAGACTGGAAGCTCTGCTGAAACCTATTCTGCATCACAGCAACACACAAGCCTCCACTGACAGACAAGTAGCAGCTGTGCATTAGGTGCAGGAATCAATCCCAGTCCTTCTGCATGGAAGGTAAAAACTCTACAACTGAATCAGCACCATATAAAGCCAGTTGTCTTTGTTGCTGTTGATTTGATTCTGATTCATAGTGACCCTATAGGGCAGGGTAGAACTGTGCCATTGGTTTTCTAAGGGTGTAAATCTTTATGAAAACAGATTACCAAGTCTTTTCTTCTGCAGAGATGCTTGTTGTTGTTGTTGTTGTTATGTGCTGTGGAGTTAGACCCGACTCATAGTGACCCCTCCTTGGGTTTCCGAGGCAGTATCACTACGGAAGTAGATTG